AGTTTCAGAGTCTCTTCTGACATCCATTTTGGTCTTTTCTTTCTTTCCTGTCTTTTTAATGACCTCTTGCTTTCTTCATGTATGATGTCCTTCATGTCATTCCACAACCGTCTGGTCTTCAGTCATTAGTGTTCAATGCAAATCTATTTGAGATGGTCTCTAAATTCTGGTGGGATATATTCAAGGTTGTACTTTGGCTCTTGTGGACTTGTTCTAATTTTCTTCAGTTTCAACTTGAACTTGTATATGAGCAATTGATGGTCTGTTTTGCAGTCGACCCCTGACCTTGTTCTGACTGATGATATTGAGCTTTTCCATCGTCTCTTTCCACAGATGTAGTCAATTTGATTCTTGTGTATTCCTTCTGGTGAGGTCCGTGTGTATAGTTGCTGTTTATGTTGGTGAAAAAAGGTATTTGCAATGAGGAAGTCATTGGTCTTGCAAAATTCTATCATGCGATCTCTGGCATTGTTTCTATCACCAAGGCCATATTTTCCAACTACTGATCCTTCTTCTTTGTTTCCAACTTTCACATTCCAATCACCAGTAATTATCAACGCATCCTGATTGCATGTTCGATCAATTTCAGACTGCAGAAGCTGGTAAAAATCTTCAATTTCTTCATCTTTGGCCTTAGTAGTTGGTGCATAAATTTTATAATAGTCATATTAACTGGTCTTCCTTGTAGTGTATGGATATTATCCTATCACTGACAGCACTGTCCTTCAGGATAGATTTTGAAATGCTCTTTTTGACGATGAATGCATGCCATTCCTTTTCAAGTTGTCATTCCTGGCATAGCAGATCATATGGCTGGCCGGTTCAAAGTGGCCAATACCAGTGCATTTCAGCTCACTAATTTCTAGGATGGAAACCCTGGTGGCGTAGTGGTTAAGAGCTATGGCTGCTAACCAAAAGGTCAGCAGTTCAAATCCACCAGGTGCTCCTTGGAAACCCTATGGGGCAGTTCTCCTCTGTACTGTAGGGTCCCCATGAGTTGGAATTGACTCGACAGCAGTGGGTTACGGGTTAATGCCTAGGATATCAATGTTCATGCGTTCCATTTCATTTTTGACAGTTTCCAATTTTCCTAGATTCATACTTCGTACATTCCACGTTCTGATTATTAATAGATGTTTGCAGCTGTTTCTTCTCATTTTGAGTCGTGCCACCTCAGCAAATGAAGGTCCCGAAAGCTTTACTCCATCTATGTCATCAAGGTCGACTACTTTGAGGAGGCACTCTTCCCCAGTCGTCTTTTGAGTGCCTTCCAACCTGGGGGGCTGGTCTTCCAGCACTATATCAGACAATGTTCTTCTGCTATTCATAAGGTTGTCACTGGCTAATTCTTTTCAGAAGTAGACTGCCAGGTCCTTCTTCCTAGTCTGTCTTAGTCTGGAAGCTCTGCTGAAACCTGTCTGCCATGGGTAACCCTGCTGGTGTCTGAACACTGGTGGCATAGCTTCCAGCATCACAGCAACACACAAGCCCTTACAGTATGGCAAACTGACATACATGTGGGGGAAAAATGAATGTACCTATTGGAAAATTAACCATATTGATCAGAATATTACAGTGTTGCCTTTGTTAGCATGCTGATGGTATAATTTTCCAAAAAACAAAATTCTCACAAAAGTGAAAAGAAAGCCAAGTGGCTGACACCAGTGACTATTCATTAGTAAGATTACAAAAATAATAAGAAGAGAATGAATATGAAGTACTTAGGTCACCATGAGCATTCTTCACAGTAATAGGCATAAGAGGATGTCTCACTGGGACAACTTTGGAAGATGCCTGACTGGTAATCAAAGCAATAAAAAGATTATTTTGGTGTTTTCTGAATGAGAGTGTACTTGGTTTTAGTGCAGTTGTTTAAAAAGCTGCCTTCTGTAGCTATTTTTCCAGTTTAAGGACTTGTAAGACCGCTATTCTCATCCAATAATATTAAAAAGTGGCACTATTGGTGACAGAGTCAGACAGACAGACAGACAACCATGTCGGCATGGGGTTAACAAAAGGTATGCAGTGAACACCCAGCCTTCTGCTTCTGAAAGTGGCCCATCTGATATCCCTGGCCCTTAGTTTCTTCATTCTCAACATGAAATATTTGGATCAGGCAATCTCAAAGGTTCCATCTAACCATAACATTTTATACACCCACATGTACACACATGCACACACATGCAGATCACTGTATCCCTGGGATGTGGCTTCTTTAAAACACATGGCTTTGGAAACAGATAGTGGCGATGACTGAACAACAGGAGGAATGTAGTTAATGCCACTGAACTAACTGTACATGGAAAAAATCTTGAATTGGCAAATATTTTGTTGTATATAGACTTACTGCAGTAAATAACAACAACAATAAACCCACATGGTTAAACTGAAATAGACTTGTTTCAACTGGTGAATAAGCTTGATGTTGGATGATGAGTCCCAAAGATTCATTCCATATTATTTGCTATATGCATTTTGTGGGTGCAAAGTACTTTTATGCTTAGTATATCTGTATTTAAAGGATTTACTGTAGATTTAAAGGTGTAATTTGATAAGCAGGTAGTTTAGTCCATTCAGCTTATAATCTCATGCCTCACAGAAAAAGAGTACTTACTATGTCCCTACCAACTTTTCTCATTTGGATGCACAAACTTAGAACTGGCACCCACCATAACTCAAGAAAGATGCCACAGAATACTTTTCTGGGCAACTGGCTGTTCCCCCAGGTCTGCAAATAGCCTACTATACCTTAGAAGTATCATCTCCTTCGTCTTCATGCACCGAGCTGGAGGGGGAAGGGGTCGCAGACTTGCTTCCAGGTGGAGAAGGTGAGTTGTGGGGAACACTGCTCCCTCCCATATTCAAGCCAAGTTGGGCGCTGAGCTGAGACTGGTTAATGGTGGTCAGCTGACCATGTGGTATCATCCCAGGCTGCTGCCTGACGTCCGCAGGCTGACCCCTAGGTCTCATGGCTGCCATCTGAGGGTGGGCACTATATTGAGTTCCTTCAGGGTTCCGAATATCTTGCATCTACAAAAAGGAAATTGGAAAGGAATAATTTTTCATAAATATATTTCTAGCAATATATATTTTTAAAATTGTTTAGACTGCAGGAGTCCTGCTGAGCTACATGCATTTTTTTCTGGGGTAGAATAATCCTCACAGTATGTATCAACACAGGTGCTGTTACCAAAGAATAGAGTTTGAAAATTAATTCAACATACCATTGCATTACTCCTGACCTGGTTTATTTACAGTCTTTCAGTACTAATCAAATGTAAGCATACATCATTAATAGATTTATACGGTGTAAGTTTCAAAATATTGATGCTTATTAGAGTGCCTGTCAGAGTTATACACTTATTAGTGATTATGGAATTCATAGCAATTCATTAAACCCTGTTTATTTTATTCTGATTATTTAAGAAAGGTTTGGGGAGTTATTAAGTGTTCTTTGGATATCAGTTTAATTCTAGATAGGCTAGTACTGGCTAAAATGATCTACTATTTCATCAAGCTTACAAGCTGGCATTAACCAATTGATTAATTGACTATTGAAATGATTTGCCTGCACAGTCAGATTTGAAAGTAAAGCTCTAAAGTTGCAAGGTCACCATATTAATCCATTATGCTATCTGGGTCACTGCTTTTTAGCCTTAATGAGACTCACTCTTGTAATTCAAGCAATGAATTTCATCTCTGCAAGGATTAGAATTAAAAGCATTGGAGGATGAAGCTCTTAACGTATCTAGGGGTCAAATGTGTTGTATGAGAGCAGTATAGTGGATTTCACTTCATGTTTCTCCAGCATTTCCAAATTTAAAATAATGGGGACTATTTTGTGGTGCTTACAGAAGCAGCTCAGTTTCCTCACTCTGAAGGGGCTTGGAGGGTTCATGCAGGGAGAGGGTGTTTAAAATAAGAAAAAATAAATAAATAAATAAAAAAGTGAAATACAGAATGGTGGTGAAGGGGGTATATGGTTCAAGTGACATTTTGGAACTGAAAAGTAAAATTAATATGGTTATCGTAGTAACCTATTTAATTAAAAAAATCACACAGTGTCAGAACTGTCCAGTAATTACCTGTCTGCAAATGTCACTGTGATGTGAAAATACTGTGAAGGCCAATTACGTAACCTAGTCAAGGCTTTTTGGGGAGGGGTGTAGAGGGAGATCAAACTCATTTTCTACCAGTGCTCTCGTCATTTTACCAATTTAGCTATATCCATCCAAAATTGAAATTGTGGCCGGGCAGGGTCCTAATGTCTGCCCTGTGTTGCTTGTATTAGGTTTTTTATCTCCACCATGAGTTCTTGGACTAGTATTCTTGTATGAGTTCTTGTACTAGTTCTTGTATTAGTCAGTTTCACCACTTTTCCAACTCTTGCCATTGCTCCCTCTTCTCAGACTCAGTTTGAGGTAGCCTAGGCATTGGGCTCTTGTTTGTAAAGACTGAGGCTGGCCCCATGATTTTATATCTGCTACTTTCCTAGTCAGAGCCCTATTTTTTCCTAATCCAGACTGAATTCCTCCAAGCCTTCAGAGATAGCACATAACTCTCCTTTTTATGGAGTCCCTCATTAAGCAGCTATTGCCATTCAGTGATGCATGTTAGAGCTTCAAAGGCCCTGAGTGACACTCTTTTAGTCTCTGGAAGATGAAACTTAGGGGTGGGCCAGAGTGAAAGTTTGTTAAATGTTTGTTGAATAAATACATAAATGAATAAATGAACGAATAAAGCCCAGAGGTTAAATGACTCGAAAAAAACCACAGAGCTTGAGGTAAAATCTGCCTGTCTCAAATTCAGTCTTAGGTACTCCTCTCTGCATTAAACATCCAAGTCAACATTTTAAGTATGCCAGTAGAGGGAGTAAAGTTGTTTAAAGATAACTTAAAATGCCTTTTCAAATGTTGTCTAAGTAAATCAATTACTGTTTCAGAGTGTATTCATACTACATACTCACATTTACTAAAATGGTTTTTGTTTCTTCTTAGCTGTTCATAGAGGAGTTGCTGGGTGGTGCAGATGGTTAATGTGCTTGGCTGCTAACCAAAAGGTTGGAGGTTCGAGTCCAGCAGAGGTACCTTGAAAGAAAGGCCTGGCGATCTACTTTGGAAAAATCAGCCACTGAAAACCCTGTGGAGCACAGTCCTACTCTGACACACATGGGTTTACTGTGAGTCAAGGTCAACTGGATGGCAACTTGCTAGCTGTTCACAGAACTTCTAAACAGCTGATCTTTAGAAATAACACAGGTTTTTGCAACACCCTTAAAATTGTGCCACCAACAGAAGATACTATAAAAACCAGGACCAACAGTTGAGATATACAGAAGAGGCCTATCATGTACTGAGTAATTTTCATGCCTACTGCCTTATGTTCTGAGTTTTTATTGTGGTTTTTATCAGACCGTTGGCACACAGACAACTCCCTCATCGTGAGTGTGAACATGGAGCTGAGGTCCTACGCATGGCGGCCTCCTCCCGTCATACCTGCTCTAACACTTATCTTTTATTTATCTGTGTAGGAGGATACAAGCCTTGTAAATTAAAAACATTTACTAGCAAAAACCATGCTTTAATTAAATTATTGTTTCAAAAGTATTCAACTAATTGACATTTTTACTTCTCATTCACATAAATCAGTTTCAATTTTGACCAAGTTACAAGCATGTACAATTGATAACATATCTGTTTATTTTTTTAAAAAATTTATTGTGATAAAAATGGTTAAAATGACAAATTTTATGTTGTGCATATTTTAACTGTACAATGCAGTGGCATTAATTACATTCACAATATTGTGCAACCTTTACCACTGTGTATTTCCAAAATTTTTCATCACCTCCAAAGAGAAACTCTGGGCTGCTAAGAGCTCAGCTCCTAACCAAAAACCAGGAGTCTGAATCCACCAGCCGCTCCTTGGAAGCCCTGCGGGGCAGTTCTACTCTGACCTATAGGGTCGCTGTAAGTTGGAGTTGACTCAATGGCAATGGGTTTGATTTTTTTGGTTTTCTCCCCTCCCCCAGGCCCTAGTAACCTCTAGTCTACTTTGGGAACATATCTGATTTGAGCTCAGCTCTTCTTCTCACCCTCTCAGAAATCTCCTGGTTTTGACATGATATTGAAGGGATGATTTCTAAATCAATTTACATTACATACAGAATTTCCAGATTTATGACTACAGTCAAAAGTCTTCCAAGGTCTAAAACAACCTCACCTATCTCTTCCTTGTTTTGCTTGTTTTGGTTGTCTTTTCATGTTTATTTGGGGTTGTGGGTAGATCCCTGAGTGCTAAAATCTGCATTTTCACTCTAGTCCCAGAAGCAGAAGGAGGTGGGAATGGCTAAGGAGGGGCAAAGAATCAATTTAACCAAAACCAAACCCACTGCTGGAGAGTAGATACCAACTCATAGCGACCCCATAGGGTTTCCAAGGCTGGCTTCCCATAGGTTTCCAATCTCTAAGGAAGTCGACTGCCATACCTTTCTCCCTCAGAGCCACTGGTGGTTTCGAACCTCGGAGCTTTCGGTTAGCAGTTGATTGCTTTAACCACCGTGCCACCAATCATGTAGTCAATAGGGCAGCTTTTTTTCCAGCAGACTCATCATTAGTTCAAAATACCATGTCGCTAATGGTGTTAGGCCAGGCAAACAGCAGCTTTAACACTGCAGCAAAGGACAAGTTTCCCATGTGGAGAATGCCTAGCACAAATTAGAACATGCCCATTTCTTTAACCCTCAGATGCTCTTTGTTCAAACAGTCAGATCTCGACATCCATGGTGGCATTTCAGAATCAGGAGGAGTATTCCTATTTTGCCTTGCTTCCACAGGAGGCAGTTCAGTATTAATCATTGTGTAATGTACAAGCTGGGGAACAATAAGTAAACTGCATGGAGTCTGTTAACTGAAAGGTAAAAATTATTAATTAGCTCATGCAGATAAGCTGATGTTTTGATTACTAGTTTTCTTCTAGAAGGATATTGACTGACTACAGATCTCTAATGTCAAATACAAACCCTGAACTTGTAAAACATTATAAGCTGTTAATCTCTCATATTTTAAACTTACTGTGAATAATTTGCTTAAATCATGCTTAATAGTGGCTGCTGTTCTCTCTGATTCTTCTTGACTCTTTCACTAACTTTTCTTCTTAAAACTTCCCAACCTTAAATGATTCTTGAGCATTCTGTTCCTGGTCACATTCTTCCACCCAGCTAAGCTATGTCATGGTTTTACTAATGGGGAATCTTCCAAATTAAAATTTATAGTTCTGAGCCAAACTCCAAGCCTAACTTTGCAACTATTTGCTAGACATCACTACTTGGATATTCCACCTGCTAGAGAGTGTACAAATTTTCTTCTTTTTCATACCTATTTTTTTCTTTAAAAAAATTTTTTTTTATTGTGCTTTAGGTGAAAGTTTACAGCTCAAGTTAATTTCCTCGTACGAAAATTCATACCCATATTGTTATGTGACACTAGTTGCAATCCTTTCCACCCCAGGTTTCCCGTGTCCATCCAACCAGCTCTTGTCCCTTCGTACCTTCTCATCCTGCCTCTGGACAGGAGCCGCCCATTTAGTCTCATGTATCTGCTTGAACTAAAAAGCACACTCTTCACGAGTATTATTTTATGTTTTATAGTCCAGTCTAATCTTTGTCTGAAGAGTGGTCTTCGGGAATAGTTTTAGTTCTGGGTTAACACAGTGTCTGGGGCCATGATTTTGGGGGTTCCTCCAGTCTCAGTCAGACCATTAAGTCTGGTCTTTTTATGTGAGTTTGAGTACTGTTCCATACTTTTCTCCTGCTACATCAGGGACTCTGTTGTGTTCCCTGTCAGGGCAGTCATTGGTAGTAGCTGGGCAAGATCTAGTTCTTCTGGTCTCAAGCTGATGGAATCTCTGGTTTATGTGGCCATTTTGTCTCTTGGGCTAATATTTTTATTGTGTCTTTGGTGTTCTTCATTATCCTTTGCTCCAGGTAGGTTGGGACCAGTTGATGTATCTTAGATGGCAGCTCGCAAGCT